TCCTGGGATTTCCTGATTGCCTGCCACGCATCTGCATCCAAATTAGCCAAACATGATGGTGCTTGCTTCTAGACCCAGCTACTCAGGAGGCTGAGGTGGGAGGATTCCTTGAGCCCAGAAGTTCAGGCTGCAATGAGCCATGATTGCGCCACTACACTCCAGCCTGGGTGACAGAGCAAAACTCTGTTTCCAAAAAAAAAAAAAAAAAAAAAGAGAGCAAGAGAGATATTGGTGCGGGTGGAGATGAAAATGCTTTGAATGTCAAGCCGGAAGGCACTCTGGAAATACGAGCTGGGTGTTTTGGGGAGATGACATATTTGTGGCAAGGTATGTAGATGACCTTTGATCCTTCCACTTCATGGACTCTTATTTCCTAAATGAAAGTCAGGAAGAAACTGCATTTCCTCATCAACTTTGCCCAGGTCCTTGTATATGAACAGGCCCCAAAGTCTATAAACTCAAGTGTTTTCATGCCAAGGTTAGACCTGTCCCACCTTGTCCCAGATGTGCTTAGCCAACTAGATGCAGGGCATACACATGGGGCTTAACAGTGACCTTGACTGGAGACAGGACCCCTGAGGCTGATGCTTGGTCTCATGCTCTCCATACAAGTACTTCGTATTGACTGGCCTTTGTCCCTGGAAGACGGCCTGTTGCACCACCATCATTTTATAACTTAATGATTGCAACCTCTCCTGATGGACCTCCCTGTTTCCTTTCTTTATAAGACCCATTGTCCACACAGTAGAGAGAGTGACATCAGATCGTGTCACATTCTTGAGTGACCATTTCCCTCTTCCCTAATAATCCTCCTGCGTGCTAATGAGTGCCCTCAGAATCTGTTTCCACTTGCTCACCCACCCATCCACTCATCCATGCACCCACCTATCTCCCCATCTGCCCATCCATCTGCTCTTTTGTCCATTCACTGGATTAACCACAGCCTCTCATTGGAAGAAGCTGTACGCCAACATTCCTTGAATGGATTACAGGAGTGTACGTGATCAGCTCCAGTATTTCCCGACTTCATCTCTTGCTATGCTTCTCCCTCACTTGCTTAGCTTTGGCCACGCCAGCTTCCTTGAGGATCCTCAGCCACTGTCAGACACATGACTGCCACAGGGGCCTTGTTCTTGCCTTTTCCTTGTTTCCTTGCCTGGAATACTTTGCCTAAATTGTCCACATAAATCACCTGCTCTCTTCCTAGAATGCTTTGCTCAAATGTCAAGTTCTCACAGAAGCTATTCTGACACCTTTCCCCACTTCTTAGAAACATGGTCTCCCTCTGTTGCCCAGGCTGCAGTGCAGTGGTGCCATCACAGCTCATTGCAGCCTTGACCTCCTGGGCTCAGGCGATCCTCCCACCTCAGCCTCCAGAGTAGAGGTGTGCACCATCATGTCCGGCTAATGTTGCTATGGTTTGTAGAGATGGGGTCTTGTTACATTGCTCAGGATGGTATCTAACTCCTGGTCTCAAGCAATCAAGCTTCCTTGGTCTCCTGAGTAGCTGAGACTATAGGTGTGTGCTGCCATGCCTGGCTAATTTTTCAAAAATATTTGTCAAGATGGAGCCTCACTATGTTGCCCAGGCTGGTCTCAATCTCCTGGGCTCAAAAAAAAAAATTCCTCCTTCCTTGAATGCCAGGATTACAGGTATGAACCACCATGCCCAGCCTCTGATCCCTCTTTATAAAATTGCAAAGTACTTCCCCCAAGCCCTGTCTCCATCTCTTCCCTTATTGTTCTTTCTCAACCCAAACACAATCTGACATGTTGTATATGTCACTTATCTATCCTGTTCCTGCTCTGTCTCCCCTGCTAGAAGGCAAGCTTCATAAGGGCCAGGAGTTTTGCCCTTTTTAAAAACTACTGTATTTCTGGCACTAAGAACAATGTCTGTCATATAGTAGTCACTCAATGAATGAATGAATGAATTCAGGCAAGAAATGATACCTTGGAGTAAGTGTATGAAATTGAAACATGAATACATTTCAGAGATATCGAAAAAAAAGTTTCCCATTGTTGTTTCTTATATCCAGTAAACGTTGTTCTTGTGCTTTCCACACTTATGTTTAAACATCCCCCAATATTATGTAAACATTCATTTATTTCCTTTCAGGACTTTTATGTTTCCTGCACTTAATTTACCAATGCATCTGGAGTGTATTTTGATGTACAAATGAGATATAGATCAGATTTAATATTTTTCTCTAGATCATTAAGCACCTTCAAAATGATCTGAATACCATTTATTGAATAATCCATCTTCCTCCAAATAATGGAAATGCAACCTTCATCACGTTGCAGTTTTATATCTGCAGGTCTCTTTTTGAGCTTCCTATTGAGTTTTCTTGGCCTTGTTTCCAGTCAGCCTGACAGTTCAGTTTTTATAATTCCATGTGTGAGAATACCTGGTACAACTAAATCCATAATTTCTTTTCTTTTCCAAAAAGCATTTTTTTATGACTTAAGTTTTTAAATTCACTATAGACCATTTTCCTCATGATAATTTACTGGAATTTTACATTTTATAGAGTGGAAGGAAATAGACATCAAATCAATATTAACTCCACATCAAGGAATGTGCTATGCACTTATTACTTAATTTTTTGTTATGGTATTATTCATATGGATCCCAAAGACTTTCTATAATAATATCAAAATGTTGTATGTTGCAACTTAAAATTGGATTTGTTTCTGTTTGTAGTTTAACTGCTATTCTTTTTGTTTTTTGTTTTTGTTTTTTTGAGACAGGGTCTGGCTCTGTCACCTAGGCTGGAGTGCAGTGGCACGATCTTGGTTCACTGCAACCTCTGCTTACTGTGTTCAGGCAGTCTTCCTGTCTCAGCTTTCTGAGTAGCTGGGACTACAGGCACATGCCACCATGCCTGGACAATTTTTGTATTTTTTAGAGACAGGGTTTCATTGTGTCACTCAGGCTGGTCTTGAACTCCTGGACTCGAGCGATCTGCCTGAGTCTGACTCCTGAATTGCTGGGATTACAGGCATGAACCATGGTGTCTGGCCACATGCTGATTTTATAGCTCATTGGAATTCTGGACACAATTACAAGCTCCAAAACTTCTTGTAGATTCTCTTAGGTTTTCCTAGTAGGTTATCTACTAATACTCTGTTCAAATTCCTGCACCTCTCACTCTCTGCCTGAGCATCTGGTTCCTAACCATGTGCTGCCCTGTGACACTTTTCCCATCACTATCCTGATCATCCCTTGGTGCCTCTCTTGCTGTTCAGCAAGCTGCATGTTTGTGCCTTGGATCTACATCTTGATTTGAATGTTCTGTACATCCAGCCCAGAGCTGCCCACACTGCAGCTTCCTAATCAGTAACTATTGACTTATCTGATTAAAGAGCAAGACTAGAGGTAAGAAGTCCATGAGCCCAATTCTTCCTCTTATGTACTGAGAGTGTTCTGGGTCTAGAGGTGTCGGGTGATTTTTCAAATAGTAGGCAGAATTTGGAATTTGGCTAAGGGTTCAGTCCTTAGGAACAGCAAGCCTGTGTAATACTCACGGTGCTCCAGGTGTTGGTCTGTGGACTTTAGGTATGTTATCTCATTTAATCTTCAGAACAACCTGATGGAATGGGTACCAATATCGCACCCATTTTTCATGTGAAGCTTTTAAACACAGTGTCCAAGGTGACACAGGTAGAAAAAGAGAGCCAGGATTCCAACTGAGGCAGCGTGTCTCCTGAATTCAGGTTCCTAACCATCACACCTACTGTCTCTTGGAGGGATACATGCACAGGTTTTCATGTTGATCTCCTCAGTACAACCTATTAGGCAACCTCCTGACTTTGACCTTTTGAGTGCCAGGCAGTTTTCAGTCCACCCCAATATGCCGCTCCAATCTATTCCAGCCCCCATTTTATTCTCTCGCCACAAACAGCCTAGGCTGCCTGGCCTGGAAGCAAAGACTTTCTCTCACTTTCCAGGTCCCCATTTCTAAGGCACCAGCTGGAGCTATCGTCTAATTAGAGCAGAAGTTTACCATGCCCCACCAAGCTTGGGTCATCATGTAAAATCATTATTAGATGACTGCCTTTATAGGGTCCTGGGCAGGAAATAAGAATGACAGGGCCCTTGTTGATAGGGAAGAGCATGCTGAGCAGCCCGGCCTGGATGTGTGCACAGCACTCAGTTTCACCACCAGCTGATCAACAGGTTGCCAGACACGTTCCTGGTGATGTGGTCGATCACAGAGGCGGGGGTTCTCTCTGGGAATGCTGGCTGAGATTCCCAGCTCTACTGGTTTGTCTTGTGGTTCTGATTTCCTGTTGTAGAAAACAGGAGCTAATCAAAGGCTTGGCTGTTAATGCTTCCAGTTTAGCAGCTTGAAGCACTGGGAACGTCCCATGTCTCAGTCCATGTACATCGGGGTCTGTCAACCTGGTGAAAATCCATGTAAATCCAGGTCTTCACCCTAATGCAGATAAACACCAATCTGTGGACAGCACCCACTTCATCAGCCTGCCTCAGTCAATCCTGAAGACCCTCTATTCTAGAAGATGGAGCAGGACAGGACATTGGAGATCAAGTTCTTCAACCCATAGTTTTACCAACAAGAAAAAGGTTCAAAGGGTGGAGGAATAGTCCCAAGATCATGCAGTAAACTTATCTGAGAAAATCAGATCCTCTCTCCCTGGTTGATCTTCTCCAAGATAAAGGCTTTAAATGTCTCCTCTATGCTGACAGCACCCACATTTGTATCTCTGGCCTGAAATTCCCCTGGATTCAGAATTCATCTACTTAACTCTCCAGACATATCAAGACTTAATCTGTTCAAAATGAAATTCTTCATATCTGTGTTACAATCTGAATGATTATGTCCCCCCCAAAGTTTATATGTTTCAATTCAAACTCCCAAGGTGATGATATAGAAGGTGGACCTTTGGAAGGTGACTAGGTCATAAGGGTAGAACCTTCTGAATAGGACTAATTGCAGATGTCATAGCTCATGCCTGTAATCCCTGCACTTTGGGAGGTGGAGGTGGGTGGATAATGAGTTCAAGAGATTGAGACAATCCTGGCCAACATGGTGAAACCCCCTCTCTACTAAAAATACAAAAATTATCTGGGCATGGTGGCACACAACTGTAGCCTCAGCTACTCAGGAGGATGGGGCAGGAGAATTGCTTCAACCTGGGAGGCAGAAGTTGCAGTGAGCAGAGATTACACCACTGCCCTCCAGCCTGGTGACAAAGCAAGACTCTGTCTAAAAAAAGAAAAAAACAACAAAGAAAGAAACTTCGAGGGAGTTCATTCACCCCCTTCCACCAGGCGAGGATACAGGGTTAAGGTGCTAACTGTGAACAAGGAAGCAGACACCTACCATACACTGCCATACACTGAATCTGATGACGCTTTGAACTCGGACTTCCCAGCCTCCAGAATTGTGAGGAAGAAATTTCTGTTGTTGTCAAGCTGCCCAGTCTATGGCATTTTGTAACAGAAGCCTGAGCAGATGGAGACATCCTCCCTCTAGATCTACTTCTTCTGCAGTCTTTCCCATCTCGGCACAAGCAGGTCCAGCCTTCCAGGTGCTCAGGATCTACACCTGGGTGTCTTCTTTCTCATATTCCTTCCTTTCTCTCATACACCACATCCAGTCCATCTGGAAATTGTGTAGGCTCCATCTTCAGAATATATCCCGAGTCCAGTGACTTCTCACCACCTCCACTGCTCCCATTCTGGGCCAAGCTACTATCATCTCTCACCTGGTTTTTGCAGCAACCCCTCTCTAGTCTCTCACCTCCTGTCCTCCACCCATCACCCCCATCCTGACCTCTTTGCCTTGTCAGAGCATTCTGTGTGATATATTTATACACAAAACAGACTTGTGATTCCTCTGCTCAAAATGTTCCACTGAGTTCACATCTCAACCTGAAGGAAAGGTGATAGGGGAGAGGAAGAGAGGAATGGGCAACAGTTTGGAGAACCAGCTCCTATGCCAACTTCATCCCTGGCTTTGGAAAAGTGGGCATCCGTCTTCATCACCCATTTTCCTCTTGATATGGTTTGGCTCTGTGTCCCCATCCAAATCTCATTTTGAGTTGTAATCCCCACATGTCAAGGGAGGGCGCTGGTAGGAGGTGATCGGATCATGGGGGCTGTTTCCCCCATGCTGTTCTTGTGATAGTAAGTGAGTGCTTATGAGATCTGATGGTTTAAAAATATGACACCTCCCCCTTCTCTCTCTCTCTCTCTCTCTCTCCTGCCTTCATATAAGGTGTGCCTTGCTTTCCCATCACCTTCCACCAGGATTGTAAGTCTCCTGAGGCCTCCTCAGCCATGTGGAATTGTGAGTCAATTAAACCTCTTTTGTTTAGAAAAACCTCTTTTTTTAAGAATAAATGTTGTTTATTATAGTCTCAGGGAGTACCTTTACAGCAGTGTGAAAACAGAGTAATATACCTCTCATCTAAGATCTCCTCCTATTTTAAGTTGTTAGATATGGATATTTTAAGAGGTAGAGGGGTCAGCAGTCTGCATACCCCTAAAACTCCGGCACCCCTCCCTGACTCTGCTTGGACCTGTCCTTCCTGATTCACTCTCCTGGGCTCCTGGCCCTTTTGCCATCATCCTCTCCTCCTCCTGCTTCACCAAGATCCATCATTCCTTGTAGGCTGCTCTGTTGATTCACAGACTCCCAGAGACTGTGGCAACAGCTGCATTTGAAAAACTGAAAATGAAGAAAAAGTTTTTCAAAAAGTAAACAAATGCACAGAAGAATGGAAATAAGTTCTCAGTGGGAAGTGGTTGGTGACTATACTGATACAAGGGATGTGAATTTATTTTCTAACAAGGCTTTGGAAGTGCAAAAACCAAGCCAGGCAATGATTTCACAACATTCTAAAAGTATCTGACTATGTGGGAAAGGATTAAAGTCTACATTTTCTAGGATCCCCCAAAACAGACCTGAGGCAGATCTTTGAACCATTACCTCTGGATCCCTCCTACCTGCCATATCCTTACATTTTTGCCATTCTCTCAACCTCTAGATTTTATTTTCTGTACATTTAAACCTGGAAGATTCAAATATCTTTTCTTTCCCATCCTTGATACAGCTTTTCCCTAGACTTTCTTATTTCCATGCAACACCCACTATCTCATGAGTTGTCCAGGTTCAAAGATATTCCTGTCATCTGTGGCTCCCCCTGGGGTTGATTAGGATGCTTTGGGCAACTGGGAACAGCACCTTCAACCATCAGTGGTCAGAAAATACCAATGTTGGCTGGGTGCGGTGGCTCACGTCTGTAATCCCAGCACTTTTGGGGGCCAAGGCAGGTGGATCATCTGAGGCCAGGAGTTTGAAACCAGCCTGACCAACATGGTGAAACCCCATCTCTACTAAAAAGACAAAAAATTAGCCAGGTGTGGTGGCATGCACATGTAATCCCAGCTAGTTGGGAGACTGAGGCAGGAGAATTGCTTGAACCCGGGAGGCAGAGGTTGCAGTGAGCCAAGATTGCACCATTGCACTCCAGCCTGGTCAATAAGAGTGAAACTCCATCTCAAAAAAAAAAAAAAAAAAAAGAAAATACCAATGTTTTTAGGAAAAGAGGGGAGAGGGCCGCTCTAGGCATTATGTATTCCATTTTCCTATTGTAGAAATGGGAGCTAATCAAAAGCTTGGCTTCCATGCTTCTAGTTTAGTGTCAAAGCCAAAACAAGGAAATATCAAGGGAACACCCACTTTACACCTGTGGGAAGTAGAATAGTTTCTCTTCAAAGTTTCCTTTCTTGTTAAAGAATAAATCATGTTAGAAATAATAGTTTGTTTTAAAGACTTTCTTCAAAGCCTTCTTGCTTTTTGCTAATAACCCTCTGTTAAGCCCTATCCTATGGAGCTGTTAGACATGCTCACAGGCATGTAGTACATTCTACTTTATCCAAGATATTCATGCTATTACTTTTCTATATCCTTTTGCAAGCAACTTCCTGTCCCTTCCTTATTTGGACTTCCTCTATTCCTTTTGCTCTCCACTGCCTTTACCTATTCAAGGAAGTTTTAAGTTATTAGCCAGTCGAGTTCAGGTTTAGATTGTGAGGTCTGACTCCAACTAATGGAGATCAGACACAGCAGTAAGGATGACCCCAAATGTGTAAGTGATAAATATGTCTGCTTTTACTTTGTTCTTTGTACTCTTGTGGCAAGACTGCTAGTGAGTGTACTCTTTCTGCAGAAAGTAAAATTACCTTGCTGAGAGATCCTTTGTCTCAGTGCTGATTTTTCTTTGTGGCACTGAGCATCTGTTTCCAACGACATCTGTTCTTTTTATAAGAAATGAAAAACTTTCTCAGGAGCCCTGCCACAATCTTCTTAGGTCTTGTGGGCCACAGTGAGTCACAGGGAAGTCCTCACTGCAAAGGGAGCTGGGAAATATCTGGCAAAGGTGATAGGCATAGTCAAGACTGGGTTTGACCAAGTGTGATCCATTTCCATTTGCCTAGAGAAAAAATCATATTAAGAGTTGGGAGGGGATGGCTGTTGGGTGAGCAAACATGAGCACCTCCCACTTTAGCTTCTTACACTGGCAGCATCCAATACAGGGGACAGCCTTGTCATTTCCCTCCTTCAGATGCCTCCTCCATTGGTCAGTTTGTTTTCTTCCTATGCCTGGTACCTTCATTCACATTGCACCTTCTCTAGCCTGGACCATAATTGCCTCTAACACTCCACCTCCTGTCCTTTCTCTTCCAAAAGACTGACTGATGCCTGATCTCTCAAGTACAACTCTAACTTGATTGCTCCAGCACCCAAGTATCTTTGGTAACTCTGTCTTGTCTACCAAATTAGACACAAACCTTCTCCTACTGAAAGCCAAGGCTTTCCATACTATGACCATTGGTAAGGAAAACAAAAACAAAAACAGTCCTGTTTGCATCTAGTCAATGGAGGAAACTGAGAAACACAACCCTCCAAGCCATGATCTTCCCGAGTCAACATGAACCATGCTCAAAGAATATGAACGTGTTCAGACAAGGCCACAAGTTGACCATGGTTGGAGGGAGGCAAAGACTAGACCACTCTGCAGCCGCAGAAGTGACTGAATGTGCCCCTTTTCTAACATGAGTGACAGCTGCCTCTTTACCAATGACAATTCTAGCCCTACTTCAAGCTTCCCACCCCTGAGATAAAGTATTTAAGATATGCAATCACCAAGTTGCCCTCACTTCTTGACCTAGCCTCCTTAATTCCTTTTTCTAATCATTCAGTAGAAGCCTTGGTCCTCTAAGAAGCCCTGCCCCTTCCCTCTTACTGAGATGCCCCCAGGTGGTCATGGGTATGGAAATCTGCTTTATTACTGTGACTGCAGGAAAGTTCCTGGGAGTCTTTGGTGGGTGGGCTCTAACATCATCATCTAACTTTCTAACTTTATCTCTCTGTGTTCCCCAAGAGCTTCTTTAGAGTTCAGGACGTTCCCCCCCGCCATAATCACTCTTAATTCTGTATAAGTTGCTGGATCCAGTTGCTATTTTGCAAGAAATACACGGGACAGAGACAGGAATGTGCTGACTGCATTATAAATACAGAATCACCAAAATTCAGACTGTGAAAATCTTCATAGGTCACAGGGCCCAGGCACTGTGACAAAGGAGTTCTAAAAAAAAGACAGGCATAAAAGGGAAACCTGGAAACTTAAGAGACTTACCAAGATTTACCAAGTGGGTAACATGACCTCTGCTTTCTAGGGAGGCACTGGGGTGAGAAAGCCATGCAGGCTGTACGGAGGTGATTGACTGTGAGAATCAGCATGAGGGTTACTTTTGGAGGGAGGGAGAGACTGTGATTGGGACACAGCCATGGAGGGGACTCTGGCTAGGTGCTCTTTCTTGACTTAGTCTTGGTGATAAGAACATTTGTTTGTAATATTTCACTAAGCTATACATTTTTTGTGCTTTTTTTTTTGTACCTGTGTTTAATTTTAAAATAAAAAGGCTAAAAAGCATAGCCCTGAACAGTTTCGTTTCTATAGACAGGAGTCTACAGACGAGGGAAGCAAGAAGTCCAGTTAGGAGGCTGCTGGCAAACCAGGAGGAGGAGGATAAGGCTTGACCCAAGATGACAGTGGCAGAGACCAGGCGTCGCATTCGGATTCCAGATGAACTGGAAGGAAGAACCAACAGGAGTCTCCGACACATCGAATCCAGCATGAGAGAAGGAGGAGAAGCAAGGTCAGGCTGTTGCCTCTCTCCGACATAATTGTGCACCTGGCGAACATCATGGCCGATCAAAGACAATGGAGTGATGAGAAGGGTTTCACAAAAGTGACTTAAATAAAAACAGCTATTGTCTGTGGGAAGATGACACCAGTCCAGGGAGGAAACAAATGGTAGTGAGTAGATGTCCTTTTCCACCAAATGGGTCATACCTATCACAGAAGCTCCCAGTAGCCATTTGCTGGAAACAGCATAGCCCAGAGACATTTGAATATATTTGATATGTCTTGAAACTATAATACCCAAATCTGACTGTTCTGTGCCGCAATCTGACTGTCATATTTGAGTATTATAGTGTCATAAAATGAGTTAGGAAGTGTTTCTTCCTCTTGTATTTTCTGAAAGAGTTTATGATCTCAGCCCTTAAGGAGGGCTGAGACAACCCAACACTTTAGATATGCATTGCCTGGAGAACTGTGGCATCAAGACAACCAACCCCTTCCCGCAACCCCACATCTACTTTACCTCTTAAATTCAAGATAAACAAGGTAGCCTTTTGTTGTAGATCATTACCCATTTGATGAATTGAATAATCCATCTTGCCTCCTTAAAAATGTCAAGTTCATAAAGTAAGGAACAGAGACTTTTAAACATTTTAAGGGAAAAGATTGTCAATAACCAACTCTACTACATTATATTTATATGTCACACTTAGGTTGGCAAAATAGCAATGTGTAGGTATCTGTCTTATGAGCGTCTGCTTTTTAGCAGTGAGAATCTTATTTTCCTATTGGCTGTTGTTATTAATTCTGACAGGTCTAACTTATTTTTCGCTCTCTCACTAGCTATAGGGTTTTCCAGGTCTGCCCCTCCTGCAGTACGTAATACAATTTTTATTTTTTAAATTAGAGACAGGGTCTCACTCTGTTGCTCAGGCTGGAGTTCAGTGCCACATTCACAGCTGCCTGCAACCTTGAACTCCTGGGCTCAAGCAGTCCTCCCACCTCAACCTACCAAGGGCCTGCAGTAGCTACAGGAATGCGCCACCACTCCTGGTTAATTTTTTTTGTTTTTGTTTTTTGTAGAGTTGGATGTTTCGCCATGTTGCCCAAGCTGGCCTCAAAGTCCCAGCCTCAAGTGATCCTTCTGCCTTGGCCTCCCAAAGTGCTGGGATAACAGATGTGAGTCGCCACACCCAGCCTGTCATAATACAATTTTCAAGCCAACTTTTCCCTGGACCAGGGGAGCTGTTGAAGTCTAGACTCCTAGGAAAATCCTGATGTCCTGCTTATAAACAGACATTCTATATGAGCTGAGTTTTTTTTTTCAGAAAGGCTGCCTGCAGCTTTAAATGGGCTCCCCAGCCTCGAATTCTGGGAAGTTGGCAGCCAGCTACACTAGGAGTGAGTTATGATGTCAGTCTTTCAGAATTCCTAATGAACTCCAGAGCAAAAAATGCTGTTACTCTGCCTCCCCCAAGCCACATTTCTAGTTGATTAATGAGCAAAGGAATAGAAAAATCTATGGCTTTGGAGAAGGAAGAAGAGTGAAATAATTTCTGCTTTAAGAAATCACTGTGCCCCGATTATTTTATTTGTTAAGAAAAGGGATTTCATTTTCTATTTATTTCCCCCTTTAAGTCTAGATTCAGACCCCCCTTCCCCCTTCCCAGCCATAAAAAGCAGGTTTGGCTCTCTCTATACCCCCCTCCTCTACCTTCATCCCTGCTTATTTGATCCAAGATAGAAAATCCAGCTCTGCCCTTTTGGGGGCAGTTGTCTTAGCTCCTTGAGGTCTGGTTAAAATCCCATTTAGCATACATGAAATAAATCTGCAACCCTCCATTAAAAGTTATGGCCTCCTTGCTGCAAAGACATACACCCAGGCGAAAGCTGTGGTTGCTTATGTTCAGCTCAGCCCTTTTGTAGCCCTGCCCTGGCATGGGTTGTACATCCTCCCACTGGCTGGAACATCCAGGGCAGTTGATTCTTCAGGGGAAAGTCTCTCTGCACAATTACCCTGCTCCATATCCACACCTTCTGTGAGGCTGCTTAGGCTAATTAAAATTCATGCTTCTTTGGAGAAATGTCTATTGAAGTCCTTAGCCATTTTTTAATTGGCTTATCAGGGATTATTTTGCTATAAAGTGGTAGGCGTTTCATATATTTTGGAAATTAACCCTTATCAAACACATAGTTTGCAAATATTTTCTCCCATTCTGCAGGCTGCCTTTTTACTCTGCTGATTGTTTCCTTTGCTGTGCAGAAGCTGTTTGCTTTGGCATAGTCATGTTGTCTATTTTCGCTTTAGTTGCCCCCCCTTTTGATGTTGTATCCATGACGTCACTGCCAAGACCAGTGTCATGAAGCTTTCCCCCATGCTTTCCACTAGGAGCGTTATAGTTTTAGGTCTTACATTTAAGTCTTTAATCTATTTTGAGGTGATGTTTGTAAATGGTGCAAGACAATGATAAGGGTCTAATTTCATTCTTTTAGGGTTTTCCATATATAAGATCATGTCATTTGCAAAAGGGAAAGTTCAACTTCCTCTTTTCCAATTTAGAGGGATTTTATGCTTTTTTCTTGCCTAGTTGTGTTGGCTAGGACTTCCAGCACTATGTTTAATAGAAGTGGTGAAAAAGAGCACCCTTGTCTTTTTCCCATTCTTGGCAGAAAAGCTTTCAGTTTTTCAGCATTGACTGTAATGCTAGCTGTGGGCTTTTCATATATGGCCTTTATTATGTTGAGTTAACAATTTTTCTCTATGCCTAGTTTTTGAGCGTTTTTATGATGAAAGAGTATTGAGTTTCATCAAATGCTCTTTTTCTATCCCTTGAGATGATAATGAGATTTTTCTCCTTCATCCTGTTAATGTGGTGTATCACATACAACAGCTATATGTCACATACAACAGCTATATGAAAAGATGCTCAGCATCCCTAGTCATCGGGTGAATGCAAATTAAAACCAAAATGAGATATCACCTCACATTACCTTTTAGGATGTCTGTTATCAAAAAAGCAAAAGACAGCAAGTGTTGGTGAGGATGTGGAGAAACTGGAACCCTACTACACTGTTGGTGGGAAAGCTCCTGTGGAAAAAAGCTTAAAGGTTCCTTAAAAAACTAAAATTAGAACTATTATATGAACCAGCAATCTCACTTCTGAGTATTTATTCAAAAGAACTGCAATTAGGACCTTGAAGAGATCTCTGCACTACCCTGTTCATTGCAACATTTTTCATAGCAGCCAAGATGTGAAAACAACCTTGACTGCTGGATGAATGGATTTTTAAATGTGATGTAATATATATATGTAATAAAATACTATCCAGCCTTTAAAAAGAAAGAAATCTTACAATCTATGACAACATGGATGACCCATTACGCTGAGTGAAAAAGGCTGGTCACAGATTCCATGCTACATGATTCCATTTATACGGGGTATCAAAACTCATAGAAGCAGAGAGTAGAATGGTGGTTGTCAGAGGCTTGAGGGGAGGGTGAAAGGGGAACTTTCTAATCAACAGGTGTAACATTACACTAAAGTGAGATAAATATGTTCTAGAGATCTGCCATCTGACATTGTGTGTGCAGATAGCAATACTGTATTGTACACTTAAAAGCCTGTACAAGGGTAGATCTCATATTAAGTGGTAAGAACTTAACACAATTAAAAAAATAAGAAATTGAAATATGGTCTCTTCAACAGAGGCCTTGGAACATTTTCTAGACAGAACCCACAATCTTCTTCAGAAATTAACTTAGCAATTGTGGCCATCATATCCTCTTCCCTTAGTTTTCCTAGTAGTAAGTGCTTTGTTTACATATTTTACTCAAATTTAATAAAGACGTTTCATCATAAAGATGGTTTTTATTTTTATTTTTTTATTTTATTTTATATTTTTTTAATTTTTTATTGGATTTTAGGTTTTGGGGTACAGCAAAGCATGCAAGACAGTTGCGTAGGAACACACATGGCAGTGTGCTTTTCTTTCCTTCTCCCCTTCACCCACATTTGGCATTTCTCCCCAGGCTATCCCTCCCCACCTCCCCCTCCCACTGGCCCTCCCCTTTTTCCCCCAATAGACCCCAGTGTTTAGTACTCCCCTTTCTGTGTCCATGTGTTCTCATTTTTCATCACCCGCCTATGAGCGAGAATATGCGGTGTTTCATTTTCTGTTCTTGTGTCAGTTTGCTGAGGATGACGTTCTCCAGATTCATCCATGTCCCTACAAACGACACAAACTCATCATTTCTGATTGCTGCATAATATTCCATGGTGTATATGTGCCACATTTTTCCAATCCAGTCTATTATCAATGGGCATTTTGGTTGATTCCAGGTCTTTGCTATTGTAAACAGTGCTGCAATGAACATTCGTGTACATGTGTCCTTATAGTAGAACGATTTATAGTCTTTTGGATATATACCCAGTAATGGGATTGCTGGGTCAAATGGAATTTCTATTTCTAAGGCCTTGAGGAATCGCCACACTGTCTTCCACAATGGTTGAACTAATTTACACTCCCACCAACAGTGTAAAAATGTTCCTTTTTCTCCACATCCTCTCCAGCATCTGTTGTCTCCAGATTTTTTAATGATCGCCATTCTAACTGGCGTGAGATGGTATCTCAATGTGGTTTTGATTTGCATCTCTCTGATGACCAGTGACGATGAGCATTTTTTCATATGATTGTTGGCCTCATATATGTCTTCTTTCGTAAAGTGTCTGTTCATATCCTTTGTCCACTTTTGAATGGGCTTGTTTGTTTTTTTCCTGTAAATCCGTTTGAGTTCTTTGTAAATTCTGGATATCAGACCTTTGTCAGATGGGTAAACTGCAAAAATTTTTTCCCATTCTGTTGGTTGCCGATCCACTCTAGTGACTGTTTCTTTTGCTGTGCAGAAGCTGTGGAGTTTCATTAGGTCCCATTTGTCTATTTTGGCTTTTGTTGCCAATGCTTTTGGTGTTTTGTTCATGAAGTCCTTGCCTACTCCTATGTCCTGGATAGTTTTGCCTAGATTTCCTTCTAGGGTTTTTATGGTGCCAGGTCTTATGTTGAAGTCTTTAATCCATCTGGAGTTAATTTTAGTGTAAGGTGTCAGGAAGGGGTCCAGTTTCTGCTTTCTGCACATGGCTAGCCAGTTTTCCCAACACCATTTGTTAAACAGGGAATCCTTTCCCCCTTGCTTGTTTTTGTCAGGTTTATCAAAGATTGTATAGTTGTAGATATGTTGTGTTGCCTCCGGTGCCTCTGTTTTGTTCCATTGGTCTATATCTCTGTTTTGGTACCAGTACCATGCTGTTTTGATTACTGTAGCCTTGTAGTATAGTTTGAAATCCGGTAGTGTGATGCCTCCCGCTGTGTTCTTTTTGCTTAGAATTGACTTGGCTATGCAGGCTCTCTTTTGGTTCCATATGAAGTTCATGGTGGTTTTTTCCAGTTCTGTGAAGAAAGTCAATGGTAGCTTGATGGGGATAGCGTTAATTCTGTAAATTACTTTGGGCAGTATAGCCATTTTCACGATGTAAATTCTTCCTAACCATGAACATGGAATGTTTCTTCATCTGTTTGTGTCCTCTCTGATTTCATTGAGCAGTGGTTTGTAGTTCTCCTTGAAGAGGTCCCTTACGTTCCTTGTGAGTTGTATTCCAAGGTATTTTATTCTTTTTGTAGCAATTGTGAATGGAAGTTCGTTCTTGATTTGGCTTTCTTTAAGTCTGTTATTGCTGTAGACGAATGCTTGTGATTTTTGCACATTGATTTTATATCCTGAGACTTTGCTGAAGTTGCTTATCAGTTTCAGGAGTTTTTGGGCTGAGGTGATGGGGTCTTCTAGGTATACTATCATGTCGTCTGCAAATAGAGACAATTTGGCTTCCTCCTTTCCTATTTGAATACTCTTTATTTCTTTTTCTTGCATGATTGCTCTGGCTAGAACGTCCAGAACTATATTGAATAGGAGTGGTGAAAGAGGGCATCCTTGTCTAGTGCCGGATTTCAAAGGGAATGCTTCCAGTTTTTGCCCATTCAGTATGATATTGGCTGTTGGTTTGTCATAAATAGCTTTTATTACTTTGAGATACGTTCCATCGATACCGAGTTTATTGAGGGTTTTTAGCATAAAGGGCTGTTGAATTAAAGATGGTTTTTAAAGAGTCAATCTGGGTGTGATTTTAATTAGGATTAGCATCAGGTTGGGCAAGGCTTTCAGAGGGAGGGAAAACCAAGAGCTTGGCATTCATAGGGTGGGGTGGCAGGGCAGGGTGGGGGTTATTGATAACCTTCCTGCCATACATACACTCTAGAGGCCAACAGACATGTGTCCCCTCTAGATGGGAAGTTGGGAGTCCCATTTGGCTGGTTGGCTCAAGTCTCCATTAGCTGGGATTTCTGGAATTTTCCCTCATTGCAGTTTTGATGGCCAGGGTCTGCACACCCCACCCCATCAAAGACAAGAAAGATTCAGTCTCAGGCTCCCATCCACCCTAGGCCTGAGGAGTCACACCCTTGGAATTTTGCTTCTAGACTTACACCGGACCCAGGGTTGGTGATGAACAGAAGCAGAACAGCTACTACTCAGTGAGGCATGTGCTATTCCACTCAGCTTTGACCACCCAGGATCAAGTGACTTAGCCCAGTGCCTGGCATGGCATGTCCTGAGGGCAGCTATTATGAATATGACCATTTTGTGTTTCCTTTCCTGTGTTTTCAGTTTTTGTGAGATCAGAAACTAGGTTTGTCTTTGTATTCTAAGGGCCTAGAACGTTTTTCTCCCATAATTGTGGCTCAGTAAACATGTCTGTTGATTTTTTTCATGAATGAGATACTCAACAGAGCCCTCTGTACGCAAGAAAATACTCACATCATCGGGAATGCACTTGGCCGCAGCTGCAGAACCCCTGACTAGCTCCACCTTGTGCTCTTTTCAGACAGCTTCTTGTCTCATATGAACAAGACCTCTGAAGCCTGGAGATTCCAGGGCTGATGTGGCAACAGTGCAATGCCCCCCATGGATACAGGGCCATTCCATGTTTCTTCCCGGCCTTCCTCAGGATGTTAACTTTCCGTCTTCATGTCTGTATCTTCATGGTCACAAGACGACTGCCAAGCTCCAGCTCTCACACCCCTAGAAAGGAAAAAGAATCAGTGTTAAAAAGCTTTGTCCTGAGATTTTGTCAATTTTTACTTCAAAGTGGGCAACCCACTAACATACTTCTCTTTACACCTCATTAGCCAGAACAGATTCACACGGCAACTCCCGCACTAGTCACTGGCAAAAGGAAAGGATGTGCCGTGGTGGTTTCAGGAGAGATTAATCTTCTGTGACTGAAGATAAGCTTCTCTGAGATCTTGAGATCCCCATCTCTTTCCTTGACACAAAATCGGGGATCTGTTTGTAGGGAAGAAGTGGGAGGTGATGGCTGTCGTCGTGTAGACAGCCGAGAGTGTGAGTGACTATGACTGCTCTAATTGTTACTGGAAGGTCTTGCTAATCCTATGGAAACTTGACCCTTATGATCAGCTCTACTGTAACAAAGTGGAAGACGGTAG